TTACTTTTCGGTTTTTTAGAAAAAAAGTGAGAGAGAAAATTCCACAAAATCAACTTTCAAGAAAAATAAACGTCAGAGGCATAAGAAATACACACATACACACACACAGACTTTGTGGGACGTCTGGAGCACAAACTGTTAATACAAATCAACTATCATAACAGATTTTGAAGTACACAGAAATAATTGTGTTAACACATGTCAATACTGGCGTCATAGTTTTAGAATATATTGTGAAGATGTACAATGAAATCACATTAACATCAAAATACTCCAGTAATTTCAGAGACTTGATTGTACAACCTGCAGAAATGCACAGAAAATAGTGTTATTAAAAATCAAAATTAACCTCATATCCTTTTTGGAACATTCTATAGAGGCAAACATATACACATTAACTTTAACACAGAAAACACTGTCTAACAATCGTTGTTTATGTCTGGAGCAAAACACAGTAAATATTTTAAACATAAATTAACACTGACCTCACAGCTTTGTTGCTTTAATGTTACGATCTATAAAAATTACACAAAAAACACCATCCTAAGAGACATAGTTTACTTTCTGAAGAAGAAAAACATAGTAAATACTTTTAAATACTGTTCTCACAGTTTTAGAGTTGCGATTGGGAGAAGCATAGAAAAATGTTACATGACTACAAATTATCATTACTGAAAATACAATATTAATACAATTATTTCAAAAGATATACAATGGATGTAGTCGATTATGCAATATACACACATAATGTTTACATGATCACATTAAAGTACACACACATATATATATATATCATCCTCTCCTGTATGAAGATCTATCTCTGTTAGTATGCATGTTACTTTGCCTGATTATTCTGTTAAGTGCCTTAATTTTGAAATAATGTAAGTACAATGTAATAAATATCAGTACGATATAATCTACAGATATTTGGTAAAACAAAAAAACAGTTTCCAGTGGTTAGTATAAAACGACATGTTACATATCTCAAACTATGCGTGATTGATCAAATAACGTCAGGATAAACCTGTACATGACATAGGAAATCTTGGGTTATACAAAGAAAAGAGTAATAAAGAAAAAGAAGCGATCAGTTGTGTCAGAGACAGGATAAAGACCTTCATCTAAGTATTGTATTAATAATTTTAGAATAGTTGAGAACCGTGTTTACCTCTGTTGTGCTCTATCATACATTATATTTATGCAAGTTGGCTTTCATATAGATCGTCTTAGTTAAGTGATGTCAATCAATACACAACTTAATGTATGAAAGACGTTTTGTTTTCCATACAATTTATATCCTTAAACATGATTTTTATAATGAATATGCAACATATTTTTTCGAAACCTTACGTAATTTCCTTTGCGCAAGCGCAGTTTACGGCCAGATAAAGGTCGAAGACGCTTATGACGCTATGCAGCTTCTACAGTTGTAAAATCACGTGCATAGCGTGAGTAAATTAGGCCACGTGTATGTACGTGTAGTTTCGCGCCAAAAGAAGTGTCCAATCGCTCAAGAAATACTTTGAAATGAAACATTTTGATTGGTGAAATGGAAGCCCTTTCGCAATTTCAGAAGAAAAAAAATACAACAACAACAAAAAAACAAAAAAAACAAAAAACGAACTGTACTGAACGATTTGACATCGTTAAGTAAATACACGGAAGAGCTATGTATTTGTTTACAGTTACATTTCAAAAGTACGGGAACATTTAACCGTCCACGTATGATTTAATCAAACGCTGTATGTCCATTATCTTCGATTTCTGCTACTGATACTGCATTTGATAAAACACAGAAAATGAGAACAGTGAATAAAACCGTTTTAAGGCGATGCTGTGGTTCTGTTGGTCAGTGTTCGGTTGAATATTCAAACATGAGGGAAAAAAACGTCCGACGTCGTTTATTCGATCGTGTCGATCATGATGAAACACAACGCATCCTTCAGCAAGAACTCACATTTACATATGCTAATAACAACCAGAGATGGAACTTTGATTTTCAGAAAGAAAAACCGTTGGAGGGACCTTGGAAGTGGAAGGTAGTAAAGCCTAATGACCCGGAAATTCCTCAAGTCTACAGTCGAATGGTTAATATAGGTTTTGGAAACAGCTCAGCTTATAAAGTCGATTTTAAAACAGGTGAAATATGCACGAAAGGTTCCGATCTAATTCAAAATAATCCGACAAAATCATCCAACACCAAGGAACTTAGAAAACTCATATTTTCCAGAAAGAAAAACAATATAACGTCAACTGTTCGCAATTTTAATACGCGAGGGAAACGTTCAATATTACGTCAATCTTCTGTGTCAGGTAAGTTCTATATCAGTATATGTAGAGTAAAACAAGTTGGTTTTGTATTTGTACTTTCTATTTATGGAAAGCTACTAAGGCTATCTGCCGCCGTTCCTAATTTTTAACTACTGAACATAAGGAAGGCAGCCAGTCAACAGCATTCTAGCACTTATCATCCACGATAAGGGATTGACTTTTACTGTTATAATGCACCCACAGCTAAAGTGCGGGAAATATTTTGTCGTATCACATAAATTCGAACCCGGCTAGCCAGCTCCGAAATCAAGAGCTATACTACAGGACCAAACCGCTCTCAGATTTTGTTTAAGCTAAATTTTATGTGCAACTTGAATATACCATACTTCACGTTCCTTTCATCTCTGTTACCCAGGGATGTCATAAATCCACTGTCAGTTTATGTGTCACTATTATTTGAAAATTAACAAGTTGCCTGAGAAATATACTTGTTGATTTATAAAATGTACCCGGCAATTTATAATCTCATCGTTTTATTAAATTGGTTGTTTATTTATTAAATTTATATGTCGACTGCGTACAAATTTATAATTGGTTTTATAAAACTACACGTTTAGTTCCTACCTGGATGTGAAAGTCTACGACTCGATTCAATGAAAATAAAACGGAGGAAAAAGTATACATTGTCATGTACATTTAATAATTCAGTAGGTCATTAAATGTACATGAC